TCCTCAGTTACCTCCTCTGTACCTCCCCCTGAGGCTATCCCACCTGCCCTTAACCTAAATCCAGGCTGCTTCTCCCCCACCAAATTCTACAGTGGAGCCTCCACCAGATACATTACACGGAGAACTCAACACTCTAAAACCATCATGGCAGACAACATTCGGGCCCTTTGCCCTCTACAGTGAGTGAAACCAAATTTAAAGAGATCATGAAGCGAAACAGCAATATTCAGCAGTGCCATTTCCACAGCAGTGTCTGGAGCCAGTGCAAGGGATTACAGTGACGTGATTGAGACCCACAGTCACTGCAGTTATCAAGCAGTCTTGGGTCACCAATCATGAGCATTGCCACATTCTTATATCCTCTTCTTAAGAACTGTCTTCATGGCACTGAGGACAAGTCCTACTGTATGTGTGCCAGTGAGAGCTCTTCCAGGAAGACATTGCTCCAGAGAGGTCACCCAGCCAGTCCTGGGAGAATCGCAGAAGGCCCCAGAATCTGTAATGAAGGTTGACATGATGCTTATTTCCAACAAGGAACTGGGACCACAGGTGATGCTGGAATAGGGAGCAGGATCAGCCCCAGTGGGAAGCAAATGTTTGTTTTTTTAACTAGTTGTGACAGCAAAATGTATTTCAATTCATCATACACATATGGAGCACAACATTTCTGTGTCCTGATTGTACACGGTGTAGAGATGCACCATTCATGCAAGTAGGGTAATAATGTCCATCTCATTCCACCATCTTTTCTACTTCCATAACACCTCTCCACCACCCTTCCTTTGCCCAATTCAAAGTTCCTCCATTCTTCCCATGTCCCCCACCCCCATCATAGATCAGCATCCACTAATCAGAGAAAACATTTGACTTTTAGTTTTTTGGGTTGGATAACTTTTCTTAGCATAATATTCTCTAACTCTAGTGGAATGCATTTTTAACACTTGCCTCCAGGGTTGTTTTCACTTCTAATAATGATGTTTTGGTTGTAAAATGGTTTGATATTAATAGAGGTATAATTTTATAATCATTTTATCAGACACTTAATGCTAAGTATAATCCTACACATCTTCTTTCTCACCTCTCTTGATCCTTAGTTTATACCAGTGTTCTGTATTATAATTTCTCTACAGTTTCAGTACTAAATAGGGACAGTACTTGTACCTGATTTGAATCTGTATCATATGATTTTTTTTTCTTTTTTTTTTTTTCATATGAATTTTAAGTTGTTATCATCTGGTATTTTGAAAAGTCAGTCCATGGCATAGAATCAATGAGAGAAAAGAATTTCTCCCCCTGAGAATTCAAAACATCTTTTATAGCAATTTATCCTTTTAGGCTTTTTCTTAAGAGAGTCCCTTATCTCTCTTAGTTTAGTAGTTCTCAAAGTTTGGTCTCACACAAGCAGCATCAGGCATCACCTTGGATCATATTAGAAGCACCAGTTTGTGGTTGTCAATCCCAAACCTTATTATATAGAGACTGGGGATTGAGGCCAGAATCCGATGTTTCCGAGATATGCAGAAGTCTTAAGAACTGTTATTTTGCTGGGCACCATGGCACACATCTGTAATCCCCAGTGGCTTGGGAGGCTAAGGCAGGAGGATCTTGACTTCAAAGCCAGCCTCAGCAACGGCAAGGCGCTAAGTGGCTCAGCAAGGCCCTGTCTATAAAAAAATACAAAATAGGGCTGGTGATGTGGCTCAGTGGTTGAGTGCCCCTGAGTTCAGTCCCCAGTAAACCACCCGCCCCAGCTCAAACCCCTAGTTAACCCCCCACAAGAAAAAAAAATAACTGTTATCTTTTTTATCCCCTCCATATTCAACATTGTGTTTACTTCTATCAAGAGTTGTAGTAGCATGGTTATAGATGAGTTTTTATTTTAATTTCTAAGCTTAGAGATTCACCGCATGTATAGGGAAATTTAGACTCCAACTCTAATGTGAGATATGAACCTGGGTTTAAGTTCTTGAGAGAGAAATCCATCCTTCACTTAATCCAGATAGAGCCAGGTGTGTTTCCTTGCTGACTCTATGCCAGTGGGATGACTTTTCCTATTATTAAGTATATAGCTTTGGATTAACTTCTTGCAAGAATCTCAGTGATGCCTTATCGTCTGTCTTTAGATCTTTGTTTCATGATTTTTATATTTAGGCTGGTTTTTGTCACAATAGAAGTCTTTATAGAGTTATTTATCAAAGTACAATTCAGGAAGTACAACAGTAATCCTTCATGCCTTGTTCTAGGTTGATTTTAATTATTGAAAATCAGTAAACATTCTTCATTGTGTCAGGGTTATTAGTAATTTTACTCATTGCAGAACGAAGAGCATGTTTGGCCCATGGAGAAGGAAATGTAATCTTCTTACTACCTATTCCACTCAAAGAATGCTCTAGAATACAAGATCAGATGGAATTGATTTCCTTTATTTTGCTGAACTCTGATTGCCTTTTATCTTTTTTATAACATGGGCCATTTGCTTAAATTTTACTAATTACTTCCATGATCACAGACATATTGTTTTTTAGTTCGATCATTTTTCTTAGAGCCACCTGACTACTTGTTTTTATTTGGAATGATTACTTTTCAGACTTGCTGCATTGCGATTCCTGGGATTGCTTTTCATTGCACTTTTGTATTTATTCTACCTTTTATTGGAACATATATCTCTCTTTCAAATCTTGAGAGGAAATGGTCAAGCATATACATAAAATACATAAAATTTTCTGATGTACGAGAATCAATTTTTTAAGTCTTAATAGTCAGTACATCTGGCAAGTTCTTGTTTTTGTCCTCACCAGATTGATAGTTTGGAGATTAATAGTTTAGAGTATAAAATTATAGATTCAATGTTATCTTACCTTAAAGTATTTTTAGTATCCTTTGTTTCTTCTGGTGTTTTTTTATTTTATTTATTTATTTATTTATTTGTAGTTTATTTCACTTCCCTTTTCTGGAAACAGGATGTTTTTGAGTTCCTTAAACTACTAGAATTGATAAGGATGTGATGAAACCACATTGTATATAGTATACTTTTATATATATATATATATATATATATATATGTATAGTATACTTTTTAATGTTTCCCTGTCCCTGAATTCATCCTGGCTTCCTATTACTTTCAGTAAAAAAAATTAAGATGTACCAGAGAACTAATGAATAAATAGCTCGCCTCCCTTCACTTCTGTTTGTCTTTTCTTTTTTACTTATGTGAAATCATCATAGCACAAAGAGAAGGAGAGGAACTTTTCTCAGCCATCTTTCCTTACCTCTTATTAAATCATTGCATTTTCTGTAAAATATGAACTTGTTAACCCACATTTTGAACATTGTGAAATGTGAAACTTTACAGCCAGCCAAAATTCTTTCTTATTTCATTTGATCTTTATCGTGCTCATCTGTAGCATTAACCTCCATCTTGAATGAAGTTGAATGCATAAATTTTTAGAATTCAGAGTTCCATGTCAGGCTTTGCAGAAGTATGTGCAGGGTAGGAGATACATATGAAAGGTAGTGATCAACCTTTTTTACTTTAAAAAGTCACTGTTGGGATGGGGATGTGGCTCAGTGATTAGATGCCTCTAGATTTAATCTCTAATAACTTTTTTTTTTAACCAGCTATGGAGATAGCTTATTTTTCTGGTGCTCATGATTGGTTATTTTATTAGTTTCTCAGGTCTTACTTGCTCTGTTCTTTTATTAAAAAATCAAAATATCTCAGGTTTGAATGGGTATTTTTCATTTTTAAAATTTTGAGATTATTAGAACATAGGAACTTAAAATCAGGTAAAAACGGTCATATTTTTAATAGTATCATTAAGATAAATTAATATCATAGTAAGAACTATAAAGCATACTCTTTCATATATGGTTCTGACCTATTTTCTATTTTTATTGTGACAATTGAATTGTAATATTAAATATAGAAGGAAAATGGCATGACTTTTGGAACATCTCTGCTGAATAATTTGGAATGATCAAATGTAATCATTTGGCAATTTGCTTCATTCCGCCCAATTTAAAGAAAGCAATCAGTTGTTTTGTGTTTATCTTTAAAAAAATCCTACATTGTAATATGTAGATATGTGGACTCTTTTGGGTAATGTTTTAATATGACATTTGTGCATGTAATAGGAATCTCTCTCTCTCTCTCTCTTTTTTTTTTTTTTTTTTTGCAACCTAAATTTGTACCCTAATATCTAAGTAGTTAGAACTTGTAGGAGTAGATTGGAAAATAGGTCTGTTAGAAAACATGTAGCCCTCTCAGATTTTCAGCTAGTTTGTACTTTTGTAAGACTCAGTTGAAAAATCAAATTGGATGGGGAGAATCCTGGAAAGTCAATAATGCAATTAAGTGATCATATCAGTTTTATAGCTAGTAAGCCTATACTGTGAGCCTTGAAAATGACAAATCCCAAAGTGCTATGACATTTTAATTAGGAAATGATGATCTATATTAGTTGACTATTTCTATTTCATATAAATCTTACTTTATCTATGTAATTATCATTAAAAAATATATGTATAGTAGCCCAAACAGAGAGAGAATAGTAGTGGTAATAGTAGTAGAATTTAGAAGCAAGTTGAGGGCCTGTGAGATGGAGGGGGGTATCCTAAACCAAACTTTGAACTTGTCAATTGATGGTTAGATGATTAACTGGTAATTGGCAAAGAGCATGGTAGAATTTCTCAAGCTGATTAGGATTTTAAAGATAAGGTCAAGTACTATATTAAAGCTCATTGCACTATCATATGCCTTATATATTGTTACCTGACATTTTATCATTAATTTTTTAAAAAGTTAATTTTTCATTTGTTGTGCATCTCACTTCTTTCTACCTTAAATAGCATTTTCTTTAGGGCTTTACATTTAGATTTATAGTGCATGTGTATTCTCATTTACATTTTGGGGGTAAATATATTTAAATAATTATGCATATGCTGTATTATGAAATCCTTAAAAGGCCTTATTCAGTTGATTGATTTTGTTGCATTGGCAGAGTGAAGATAGTCCGAGTCCTAAGAGACAGCGCCTCTCTCATTCAGTCTTTGATTATACATCAGCATCACCAGCTCCCTCACCACCAATGCGACCATGGGAGATGACATCAAATAGGCAGCCCCCTTCAGTTCGACCAAGCCAACATCACTTCTCAGGGGAACGATGCAACACACCTGCACGCAACAGAAGAAGGTTAGTTGGTTATAATTTATTTCTTAAAATTTTCTTTTATTAGTAGATTTGTAATTTTAACATCAGAAGACATATTTGTGTAGGCATTTCATTAACACATCAGTGGATGCACATGTGCACATGAACATGTACTAGATTTTAAGAGCTCATTTATCTTGTAATTGACATGTGAAGAAATTGAGAGGGATAAAGTGATTTACCTAAAGTCCTTCTATGACATTATATATTTTTTGTTGGTGGTGTTTCAGTGCTGAGGAACCAACCCAGGTCCTTGTGCATGCTAGTCAAGCAAGTGTTTTACCACTGAGCCACATCTCCCACCATATATGAATTCAGTTTCACCTTATGGTTTAAGACTTTATGTGGGCTAGTCTATAATCCTGATTCATAACTGTAAGGAAATATGGGCATTTAGGAATAAACTGTCTCTTTGCCACTCCATTCCTATTTCTTCTGTATCTCCTAAAGCAATTAGGAACTTAAGTATGTTTCTTATTTAAAAAAATAAATAAATAAAAAACAAAACAAAACAAAACTGTGAAGCCTGAGTTGTGGAAGAATAACTGAAGTTCACTTTTAATCCTCCTTTCCACCAGACTTGGCTCTTGCCTTTTCTTCCTGAGTCCATTTCTTCCTGAGCTTCCTCTTTTGTTGTTGCTTGAGGTCATAAAATTCTTATTCCAGGTAATTGTCTAATTGGGGTGACATACCTGTTTGCATATCCAGGATGTTGATAATCAAAGGAAAGTAATAATCTTGAATTAGGAAAGTATTATTGACTAAATGTTTTGTGTACCTCCAAAATTAATATGTTGAAGTTATAACCCCTTACTGTAGGTGGTATTTGGAGATGTGACCTCTAAGGGAAGTACCTAAGGTTAAATGTGGGTATAAGGGGTGGGACCTTTGTCTAATAGGATTAGTGTCCTTTTAAGGGAGAGGCATCAAAAAATTCATTCTCTGCCATATATAAACACAGTGAGAAGTGGTTGTTGCAAGTCAGGAGGAGACCCCTCTCCAGAAATCAGTCATGGTGGCATCTTGATCTTAGACTTCAAGCCCCAGAACTTTGAGAGAATAAGATCCTATTTAAGCTACCCAGTTTGTGGTATTTTTATGGCATCCTGAGCAGATTAATACAGAAGAAATACCACAATCACCGTTCTGTTTTCCAAATGAACACAGATTCCAAACATGGTAACTGAGCTATATTCTATTGTGACACTAAGACTTACTCTCAATACATTATTAGTCAATTATATGGAACAATTTTAGTAAAATAATGTATGGCTACTAGGACAATTGTTTTATAGCTGTTAAATAAGCACGAAAAAATAGTTTTTGTTTTATTTTGGTTTTCGAGTTTTTGTTTGTTTTGCTTTTATTTTTTTTAATATGGCAAATTGTCATATACTGAAAACATGTAAAACAAATTATGGTCAAAAAAATAGCAAACACATATACCCAAAACCTAGGTTAAAATAGAACCTTATTGATTCCACAAAACAAAAGAGTGAGTTGCCACCACTGCCTGCCTCCACCTCCTCCACCTGCCATTTTCCTTCCTCCTTCCTAGAGGGTGAACTCATCTAGGAATTTGTCATTGTTCTCTATATTTCACACCCCCCCCCCTTTTAGTGGGGGGGTGGTGGTACTTGGGATTGAACTCCAAAGCACTCAACCACTGAGCCACATCCCCAGCCCTATTTTGTATTTTAGAGACAGGGCCTCACTGAGTTGCTTAGCACCTCACTGTTGCTGAGGCTGGCTTCGAACCCACGATCCTCCTGTCTCAGACTCCCAAGTCGCTGGGGTTACAGGCATGCACCACCCTGCCCAATTGTTCATTATAGTTTTTAATGCCTATTGGTGTTTTTCCTTTTTTTTTAACTACTAATATGAGGATTAAACCCAAGGACATTGGTGGCAGAAGTTTATTTTTACTATGACATAAGCTTTCATTTTATTAAGGTACCACACTATGTATCTACCTACTGATGGTAATAACTGGGTCGAGTCTTCTACTGTTACAAAGAACTGTTAGGAAATTTCATATACGCATTTTCTCATGTACATGTGTAAAAGCTACTAGGCTATAGAAAAATGCTCTGGATCTAGAAGAAAGTGTCAGATTATAATAGTAACTAGGTATAGACTCTTGAATTAATAAGAAGTATCATGCTCTTCATTAATGGCAATACAAAGGTGGTGTAGGGAGAACTTAACTGTCTAGAAAACTAGCTACTTGTATATTCTGTATAGACCAACTTTAAACTTGACTGCCAGATTTTCTCCTAGAGGCCAGCTGTGCAAGGAGATGTGATTTTGAAAGTAATGTGGCAAGATGTTAAATGCAAAGATGCACAAAATCAGGAAATAACCAAACACTTGAAAGAAACCAACAAAGTGAAAGACACTAAGTGTAATAAAACAACTTGAATAAATAGAGGCATTATACTCAGTAATTAACAGAATAACTTGAATAGTTAAAAGAAATTAGAATTGTAGATTAAGTAAGACAGATGCAAGAGGATATTATATCCATAAAAATCAACTTGGAGAGGCTGGGTTATAATAGCTCAGCGGTAGAGCACTTGCCTCACACATGTGAGGTGGAGGGTTCCATCCTCAGCACCACATAAAAATAAATACAGTAAATACATTTTAAAAAATCAACTTGGAAATCTCAATTAGTAAAATTTAATAAGTGGTCAGAAAAAGTGGAGTTTCCCAAAATGTCTTATAAAAAGGACAAAATAGAAAGTGTGGGGAAATAAATTTAAATAATGATATCAAAGTATCAGTTTTATACATATGTCTAGTAATATTTTCAGTTATATATGTCTAATAATATTTATATTTTGCAACATAAATAAAGTTTTAAAAGACAGTAATATAAAATCACTTTTCAGAATTGGAGAAAAACTGAGTTTTAAGCAGGATCTTGGTGAAATTTCAGAACATACACCAAGGAACAAACACTAGACTCAGCAAAAGCAAAGCTCTAAGAAACTCAGTGACTCTCTAAATAAAATACAAAATAGGGCTGGGGATGTGGTTCAGTGTTACAGTATCCCAAAGTTCAGTTCCCGATACTACTACTACTACCAATAATAATAATAATTATTCACAGATAACTTGAGGTGGAAAATAGACCATACACAAAGAAATGAGAACCAAATTGACCATAAGCTTTTCTAACATTAACAGCATTAGATATAAGAAGGCAGTGGAGTACATCTTCAGAGTTATGTGAGAATAATCAAAGTGTGAAATATGATATATCAAGAACTATGTAATGTTTTGAACAACCAACAATAAAAATTAAAAAAAAGAGTTATGTGAGAATTTACATTTTGCTTTGAATTGTACCGGCTGATTTATCATTTAAGTGTAATGTCAGAATGTAAAAGCATTTTCAGATATACAGATACATACAGAAAATTAACGAGCAAGAGATCCTTTCTGCTTGTATTATTAAATATTACACTCTATCCAGGAAGCAGAAGCAGAATAATAAATACAAGAAATAGGGTTCAAGACCATTGGTTAGCAATGAAAACAAAAACATGCTAATTCTGAATAAGGGTCTGTTGTTTATGAAAGAAATTCAGAAAAGATCAGAACATGAGAAGGGGATAGAACAGAGAACAGAAATTATTTTAGAAAAATGAATGTATGTGTTTGAAAACTTCCAGTGACTGATCACTGGAAGATTAGCATGTATAATGTCCACACATTTAAATAGATAACATATATATAAAAAAATCAGTACAACAAAGGCAAAAAAGTGAGGTTAAGAAGAACAGCATTGGGGCTGGGGATGTGGCTCAAGCGGTAGCATGCTCGCCTGGCATGCGTGCAGCCCAGGGTTCGATCCTCAGCACCACATACAAACAAAGATGTGTAAAAATAAATAAATAAATAAAAAATAAAAGGACAAACCGTTAAAAAAAAAAAAAAAAGAACAGCAGCATTGTGCTGTTTTACAAGTGTTAGACCTGAAGCAAATTGCAAAGTACATATCCGTCACTGGTAGAAATATTGCAGCTGAAAGAAATATTTGTCTCTCTTCCTTGTTTTCAGGTTTCAGTAATTCTGAATAAATGTTCTAGCGCAAAGGTGTGCAACAGAGGCAATGAGATGCAGTCAATATAGGAATGATAGGGATCAAAATCATGAAGGGACTTTCCTGTTAGCACAACAGGATCTTGTGATTATTTCAAGAGCTTCATAGGAATTACTTTTGAATAGGGAACGAGTAACAAGTGACAGTAATTGTGAGGGGAAAAAATAGTAGGGTAAAGGTTTGTGGACAGATGGGATTTTGGGGGGGAGGGGGAAATGTTTACATACACCATATAAATATAGCATAAATATGTGTATATACAAATATTTCTTTCTGCTTTGTTTATTTTATTTTTATTGTGAATTCAATCCAGGGCATCATGTATGCTAGGCAAGTGCTCAGCAATGAGCCACATCCACAGCCCTTGTTCTGCTTTCTTAGCCTGGAAACAGTGAATGCTACTAGTATCTGGTCTTGGCTTCCAGATACCATTCTGCAGTAAAGGAACCAGGGCTTTTTGTAGAACTGTTTAAATCCAGGGCTGGAGTAATGAAACTACAAAGATGACCCTGGAGTAAATTGTGGTTCCAGATATTAAAAACATGGGAGTATATTGAACAAGAGCACAGGAGCCAAGCTGAAAGTGTTCCCAATGGAACAATTTGAATAACAAAGTAAAACAGTAGTATAGATCATAGCCCAGTGAGCGGAGTAAATATTCATGAATCCATTTTGATCATAAGCAAGTGAATAAACAAATGAGAGATGAGTGACAACTCTTCCTTATAGAATTCCTGTTAATAAATATACAGTGGGGCATGGTGGTGCACACCTGTAATCCTAGCAGCTCAGGAGGATGGCAAGTTCAAAGCCAGCCTCAGCAGTGACGAGGCACTAAGCAATTCGGTGAGACCCTGCCTTTAAATAAAAT